TAGGCTAGTTTGGGCTGCTTTTTTTTCCCCGCTCCTGCCCTAGAAAGGCAGTCATGCTTAGCCGAAGTCGTGCTGATGGAATACATCATTGCATTATGGGTAAATTCTCCTTGGGAAATTGGAATGGAAGGCGGCATACCTACACACACATATGCACGCACAGACACACACACACACACACACACATATGCACACACCCACACACACAAGCAGGTTGGCTTTTTTCAATAATGGTGCCAGCAGATGGGGAATGTAGACCATAACTCTCTGTAGTTGTTTGTCATTGCAGCCGTGTGGTTTGATGGAAGCGATTTATAACCAAAAATCAGATCCCTCAACACTCATAAAAAAGCCACTTGGTTTCACGTGGCTCCAGATTCCTACATATTCGTGGCCCCATTTCTTCAATAGATAACCTATTTTTATTACCCTGTTTGTGGAGGCTGCACTGTTTAAGATGCTAATATCCAGATGGACTCAGTGATACGTTTCTATTCAGAGCTGTCACTGCTGCACCTGCTAACATTGTGCCATTTCTGAGACGATCTAGTTTCACTTTATATAACCTTAAGAAAAAACTCAGTGTCCTAATATAAGGACAGTTGTTCTGTTCTGTTATCTCTGTTCTTTGTGTCTCAGTATCTGTATTTACCCATTATCTCATTACACTGCCAGATAGTTACTCTAATTAATATTTACATGCTGTATTTATACTATAACAGTCTGTTTACAGCAATGGCATGTTTCCTAAATTGAGTGCAAAATTAAGAATGAAAAAAAGAGTTCATAATATTAAATAATGAAATTAAAGTTAATCTTAATATAATGAGTATACAGGTATATCAAACTGCACAGGAAGAACTTGCTTGAATAAATTACACTGTATTAATAATAATGGGTTTTCTTATTTTCCATATTTCCTTGGTCAAAAGTTTTTCGATATGTTTTTATTCATTTTTCACAAAAATGTTCTAAAAGCGATACACCTTAAACACTTTTTAAATAGTTTACAAAAGTGATACAATACCATAGTATAGTGCTTCTGCTAATATTCTGGGACAAACGAGAAAGCATTAATGTTAGCATGTTGTTTTTGTGCCCTTACATTCTAGCATTTATTTACAATGATTTTGCTAACATTTTAATTTTGAGTGCTGCTAGTGTCATTGTTATTTGTATTAGCATTGTTAGCCTAGCCATTCAAGACAAGCGAATGCTCCAATTAAACACAATATCTGACCTACAGATATAGTAAATATCTTAAAGTAGAAAGTTGCTCAGTGTTAAAGCCCTAGCCATTTTCAAAGGAAGTTGATATCAAACAAAGCTGCATAAGAAGGAGTGACTACAAAAGCTATACACATTTAGCAGTCATTGTGTCTCTCCAGGCTTTCTGGTGTGGCTTGATGGATTATCTCTAGGCAGTTCCTGTGTGTCTGTGAGAAATTTCCCCTCAGAGACTGAAAGAGGCTGATACACATCCATCTCACTTACTGACCTTCAGCTGTTCATTTTAACTGACTCTTTTTAAATGAACTGATTTACAAACAGGATATGTCTAATATGTTATTATTTCTATAGAACTAGTTAACACAGTGGTTGTATGGTGGATGCTCCACATAAACAGATGTCTAACTGTTGAAATGGTGACGTTTTCTGTGAGGAGACCTTTATTTAATGTTTATGGAAGGAGTCTCCAGAGTCAGTGCTTTGTAACAGTCAGAGTTGAAGGTGTGGTTTCTCTGTAACATGATAGTCTTATTAAGTTAAAAAGATAGAAAAAAAATGTATGGTGTTTTTCTTAAATTAATGAAAAGATTGAAAAATGCTGTGGTATATGAGTAATAAAACACTTCAAGATGTGCTATTATATGTAAATGATCAATAATCAAGTTGTTTATTTTCCTTTAATGGCAATGATTTGTTCTTCCTAACCACAGCAATGGAGGAGCAGTAGCTGTTCTCAGGTAATGAAGATCAGCGTAACTGAATACTTGGTGTGTCGATCAATTCTCAAATAAACGATTGATTAGCGCTGAGATATAGAAATCTAGCCATGTCCTTTTAGAAGAAGCCCAGATTTGCAAATAGAAAAATAAACAGAGAAATGAGTAGTTTCTATGGCAACAAGCACAATGACAGAGTGGACAAAAGCTACAGGACATTTCAGTGATGTGTTTTATGATTCTACAAGGTTAAAAACTAAACAGAAACAAACTAAATAAAAGTTCTTCAGCTTTTATTGAACTGAGCACCAGTTAAGTAGTACTTGTGGCGTCCCAACAATCGCCCCCCCCCCCCCCCCCCCCCCCCCCCCCCCCCCCCCCCCACACACACACACACACATACACTCACACACACACATATGCACTCACAAGCAGAAAGAAGAGAGAATGTTGATTAGTAATTTCAAATCTTGCAGGAGCTATCAAATCGGCTGCTCAATAAATCGGCTGCACTTTATGAGCCATTTTTTATTGTTATTGTTCGGCGCTGCTGCCTGATAAGCCACTGCGTGAATTTCAATTTTGCTCGCGTAATTAAAATGCACCAAAGGTGCTGCCTTAGAAGCCGAGGCGTAAAACACTGTAGCTTATTTCTGCAAGTGAAAACGTGATGTGAATCTGCTAATGGAGTTTGTGCTTTTACTGGAATTGCATTGTTTTGTCTCTGAGAAATAAACAGACTTTTATGTGTGTGTGTGTGTGTGTGTGTGTGTGTGTGTGTATGGCTAATTAGCATAACTGAATGATTGTTCACTGAGGGCATATTTAAACAACCACAGTATCCTGACATCCCCTTTCAGTAGGTTATTTTTTCCTTAATCACTGGTTGAAAGGTGAAAAATTCAGTGGCTGTTTCATGATTAACAAGTTAACTGTTACTAGGCTAACGTTCATTGCAATTTAACTAGCACTAGAAACATTTGTCAGCAGCTTGCTATGTTAGCTTTGCATGCTTTTTTTTTTTTTTTTGCTTTTTTATTTAATCAAAATGATTTTCCCAAATGTGAATTAATCACAATGGACACAAGCCCTGCAGCTCATTTCACAAAGAAAAGAAAGCTAATCTTACCGTGTCAAATAACTAGTTACAAAGATAATCATTAATGTTAACATTTAATAGTTGATATAGTGTAATTATAAAGGTCACAAGTTTGTGTACTTAATCTGAAACTAAAATACTTAATTGATTACAATTTATAAAGATTGATGCGTCATATTGTTTTTGTCTAAGTTTACATTTAATGTCGTGGAATGGTCATGAAACAAGTTGGTTCCCGTTATTACTTATGTCAGTCCTTCCCTCACCATCCTAATGTTTTTCTCTTGAAGTAAATAAAAAAGCTTCTTGTCTCCATCCTGAAGACTTTCCTGACTGTTACAAATTTCTAACACTGGAGTCTCCTTCCAAAAATGCTAAATAAACATCACACAGAAAAAGTTAATTATAACACCTTCTGACCAATCAAAATCGCGAATTCAACAGCACTGGTATAAAATGATTTAATTTAATAGTAGCAATATTTTTGGTAGAACTAAACGTTGATATGCAATATTGAAATTCAAACATAGAAAAGTTTCTTCTTCTTCTTCTTTCGGTTTTTCCCTTCAGGGGTCGTCACAGCGAATCATCACTCTCCACCTGTACCTATCTTCTGCATTCTCAACACTTGCACCCACTAGCTTCATATCCTCATTTATTACGTCCAATAAACCTCCTCTTTGGCCTTCCTCTTCGCCTCCTGCCTGGCAGCTCCATGTCCAACATTCTCCTACCAATATACTCACTCTCCCTCCTCTGAACATGTCCAAACCATCTTAATCTTGCCTCCCTAACTTTGTCCACCAAACTTCCAACATGAGCTGTCCCTCTGATGTACTCGTTCCTAATCCTGTCCAACCTCGTCACTCCCAAAGAGAACCTCAACATCTTCAGCTCTGCTAGCTCTGACTCCTGTCTCTACCTCAGTGATATGGTCTCTAAACCATACAGCATGGCCGGTCTCACCACTGTCTTGTACACCTTCCCCTTGATTCTCGCTGATATTTTTCTATCACACAGAACTCCCGACACCTTTCTCCACCCATTCCAACCTGCCTGCACTCGCTTCTTTACCTCTTTCCCACACTCACCATTACTCTGGTCTGTTGACCCCAAGTACTTAAACTCCTGTACCTTCTTCACCTCTTCACCCTGTAATCTTACTGTTCCACTTCCCTCCCTTTCATTCACACACATGTACTCAGTCTTACTACGACTGACTTTCATTCCTCTTCTCTCCAGCGCAAACCTCCACCTCTCCAGGTTTTCCTCCACCTGCTCCCTGCTCTCACTACAGATCAC